TATTTCCCTTCAATACACAGAGAGCTGTTTGAAAAAAGGTGCTCCACATGCTGAGAGACTCCTTTTGCTGAACACTCATAACTACTTCATGAAGAGATGGCTTGAAATTTGTATAGCAGCAACCATGTAGAAGGTGCATCACGAATCAAAATCTAGAGTCTGCCGCTGTCTTAGACTGACCAATCGGTGCAAGTTTAGAGACAGGTTTTCGAGTGCAGAAAATCACTCAAAATCATTATGTTGAAATGGATAATGATGAGCGAGTCTCCTATGAGATTACAGGATAGTTCCACAGCATCACATTACAATACTCAAGTCGATGCTAAACCTTTATTCATCCGACCGATAGTTTACCTTGATCTCGATAACGCGAATAATTCAGTATGTCTGGTCGTTCGTTTCTGGAATCCATTTCATGAAAATAAAAGTGTGAATGGATTCCTCGGCACTATTTTTAAAAATCCTCACCTTGCTTCTGAGACGGCAACAAAAAATATTGAAAACTCCTTCTCTTATTTCCATATTGAATGTTAAACATGTCCATGGGTGTACACAGGAAAGAAAACAGTACGCAAGAGGTCCCATTGTCCTCCAGCTGCGAAGAATCGTTGCCTGTTAAGCCTTGTGATTAAAACGAATAGAGTGGAAAGGTTCAAAAGTAGGCCAGTGATATAAGAATCATTCTCCCTTTCAATATCATGATGATATAAAGACTGCGAGGTTTATGAAAGCGAGCTGTTTCGGGAGACACTGAACCCAGGATTAGTTCAAGGCAATGTTGAAGGGTGAATGAGAGCATGGCAGGCACTTGGAGATTAATCCACTCGGCTTCTATATTATCACGCGAAGAAAACAGGTTAAGCACAATATTGATGAAATAGCTTAAATTGTTCTCGAAAGAGACACATACCTGTCCGAAACTGTTGAGGACATATATACCTCCATTATACACAAACTGGATCATGAAGCCAATAACAAGTCCAGCTACCTGTCCGCAAAGGCGCATTTCATTTCTTCCGGATCTAATTGATTAGACGGTTTTATTATGTGAATCCGTTCAGCCACAGCTACAACAGTTCTAGTCTGGATTAGGAATTGAGCCGTAAATATCTCACTGATTTTTGTAAAACTTGTTCTGTAGAATAAAAATAAAAATAAGAGCATAGCAGAAGATGCAGATAGCGAAGAATGCTGTACATGATAAGAGTACGATCATATTCCCAAGCTAAATTATTTCGGATTACTAATGGCAGTTTAGTTAGAAAAGCTAGGGAAACCAGATATAACTCTGATTTGTGTGACAGAATTTGAGGATCCAAAAGAAGAAGAAGAAGAAATTAAGTTGCATGGATTTACTGCCGCACTGTCCCCAACCTTATCACTCACTTCATTTTGCGGACGGACAAAAAGACCTGCAGACAATCAAACCGACACACAAAGTAGCTGTTTACAAAAACCGATATTGTTCTGAATATTCTCCAGTATCGAGAAGTTGATTGCCTGCGGTTGTTTACGAGCTTATGCGCCCGACGAGAGACAGAGTCAACATTCTTGAAGATGCGTTGCGACCGCCTTATTTTCAAAGGTTAGCAATTTCTTCATTTACTTTTCGCTTTCGTTTCCTTCATGGTCGTGGGGTATTCGTCAGAGAGACGAGTGCAGTGAGGGAACGTCTTCGTGGAGAACGAATGATGCACCCAACTTTAAATTTCTTGTCTTATAGGTCGGTAGCACTGGGTCGGCACAACGTAACAATGGTGCCACTGTGGGGACTGAACACTTCCCCCCGGTATTCTCTCTTTGAATCGCATTTCCTCGTTTTCAAATGCATCCAGGTTTTCTACTCTACCTGGTCTTACTTCTCCTTCCCCAGAGAAGCCCGCCTACTTTTTGGCATGGTAATACGTGACAAGTACGTTGTTTATCTAACCTCTGAGACTTGGTTAACTCTTTGGCGACAATGGCACACCCACAGGTGGGTGCCTTGATAAAAATTTCCTCTCTACGCGTTTAAAACATTTTCAACATACCGGTAATTATACGCAACTCTCGTTATGTCTATGCTTAGAATATTTTACAGAAATATTAGACACCAGCTATTTTATATGAAATTTTAGAATTGTGGCACTTTGCTCGGCGACATATCATATTAACTAGTGTTATACATTATTAAGCTTAAGGTGAATTACTAGTTAAGACCTCTACGTCTTTTCGTAGCCTCAAGACACACAAGAGGAGTATGAACTTATATCAAAACTTACAGCTGCGGCGCGGATAGAATGTCTTTAGAGTTTTTTGATGGCACCAATAACTCCTTGAAGTCCGACAATTCGCTTTCGCAAACATCATTTCTCAATTCTAACAATACACGATTCACAAACGCTTGAGGCTGCACACGTCAAATCTTGTATATGTCAAAGTTAAAATTTTGATAGAAAAACTGCTTTTAGGGACAATTTTGTGCCATCCTGTTCGAGATTTGGACGCGCCAAAAAGAGGCGTGGTCCCACGAGCACGCTACGTGTGCTGTCACTGTCGTCAAAGGGTTAAACGAACGGCATCTCGTGACTCCATGTTAGGTAACTATATAAATGATATGCTGATACTCCGTTGTGACAGGAGTCGTAGAGCGCCGTAGGTGTTATAAGGTAGAGGGGGATGTTTTACTAGAAAACCTTTAAAAAATTTAAGGCCAGGGGTATTCGTTCTATAATCTAGTTCGATCGAGGGTTACGAAATTTTTGCCGCGGATTTAGTGCACCCAGGCTTCTGTGCTAGGCTGTCGTAGTTTACAGACTGCCTTCTATAGCTGAAGCCATTAGCGACCTTACAGCAATCGCATTGCCTGTGGTTGTCTTAGGAGAATGTAAGTTCCCGGAGATTATTTGAGCTGATTGTAATACCTAGGACATCACACACTCGCGGTCTAACAATTTGGCTTTCCAAGTATCGCCTAATCCGCAGTAATTTAATTTGTTTGTATGGATGTGAGCAACTTTTCAGAATCGCTTTCTGGATAAGCAACTTTACAGCCGCCTGCAATGCTGGTGATATCGAAATCTCCACTTTGGTTGTCATTAGATACTTGACGTCCTCCACACTTGGAATAAAGGAGACGCTAACAGAAGTCCGCTACACCAGTGAATAATTGCAAAAAGGACGCTCGGCATGCGAGAAGTAATCTGAAAATAATATGATCTGAAAGATAATTCGTGATGTGCAGACTTCTTAAAAAGGAGAAAATTGTAGCAGACAATGTTACAGAGGGGAGGAAGTGGTACAGTAGCAAGTGGCACGTTTAGCGCGAGAGCGGTGTGGGGAACAAATCCTGGGCCGTGATCAGGGTCAACCGTCCGTTCGAACTGTTCGAACGAGGGGTCGCATTTTGGTCGGAAGGGGGTCGCAATTTCGAGGACCCACGGCCGCAATCACGGCGGTAGCATCATTGGTCGGTGGATGGAAGGGGGGGGAAGGAAAGCTCACAAAAAAAACTTGGATTAGTCAATTGAAATTGGAAGTTCCAAATGCCAGCCACAGGCGCGTGCGTGGCGTATCCGAGGGCAAGAATTGCTTGTGCAGACCGCATTAGATTCGATTTATTATGCACAGAGAGACAGTTTTAGGCAAATTACGGTGTTTTCTTGAGGAATAAAGAACAGTTGAATGCATCCCTATGAAAGGTTTGACTTCTCGGGGCTGAAACAAAGTTCTTCGGAGACCTTTTTGGGGACGCTTCTTCCAGACAACTGTGAAACAATAAGAAAGCAGAAATCTCGTAGTCTTCAAAAATGTCTTTATCCCTCCCCAACAAGCTCTTTGAAGGAAGTTATTATTGCTGAAAGCTCAAAAACTCGCATGTGCTGCTCAAAAACCTATGGGAAAAAATGTTCGAACGTGTGATTTTCTCGAAAAATGAACTTTGAAAAACGGTTTGGTGCTTGTTAGAAAGAGCAAATCCTGTACTTTCACCCCATAAAAAAGTGCATCACAGAAATGAAAATGAAGTGAGTTATGGTCGCTGAAAGCCCAAAAACTCGCTTTTGCACGAAAAATGTTCGAACGGGACAATTTTTTGAAAAAGGGACAATCACTAAACTTTTTATACTGTTTTGTTAGAGAAATATTTGAAGTTTCTGAAACTTTTTACAGATTTCCAAAATGTCGCATACGAAAGATTTTATGGGCCTTCAAAGTTGAAGGTGCGCCTTCTTAGAATTTTGGGTTTTCCACTTCTAACAGAAGTACTTTCCGGAGAGTTAGGCAATCCTTGTAGTTTTCTGAAAGCGCACCTGAGGACACAGTCAAAATCTACCTCAAACTTTAACCAGCCGGGTACGGAAATCAAAACTTCTTCGAAAGTTAGTGTCTCAAAGTACGCGTTTTAACATGTTTCCTAGCTCGTGACAGTCCATGTATGAAAAATAAGAAATACATTACAATACAAGAATTTTATCAAAAGGAGTCATAGAGAAAAACGAGCCATTTTTCTTGAAAGTTTCGCCAAGTCGAGTGAAGCGGTGACATTCTTTCATTTGTGATTTTGATTTGCGTCTTTCTTTCTCTTAACGTTTTTCTTTCTCAGATCGGTTTTTTACTTCGTAGCAAACATGTATGGAGAAGAAAAAGATCAGGAGTATGGTCAGAGGTTCCAAAATATCACAGATAAAAAGTGTCCTCACATTGCTCCACTTCGCAAAACTTTTAAAAAAAAATGGCTCGTTTTTCTCTCTGATTTATTTTCACTGAAAGCGTATTTCAGACCTTCCATGTGAAGTGAAGTTCTATTGAGTAAGCCCAAAAAACCATAAACACACCTCTGAATATCTGAGATGAATCG